TAGGTTTCATCCCTCCTTCTTTTCTCATCCAAAGTTGAAAGCCGCCACTAAAACAAACCACTGACGCAGATACTCATAACAGCCGGTGCCTATTATTATCATCATCATCACTATTCACTTCAAACATATGTCATTGGTTAAAAACCTCATTGACATTTGTGGCACAAGCCAATGGTCCAACATTTTACACTGGGAGCAGCTTTTAAAAGAATCAACAATCTGCTCTGACTGTATTCATTTTTGTGGAGAATTTTGAATAACGCTGACCAAAATTATGCATTATATTAATGTGATTACTGTTATATTTTAATATTAAACAGCAATAAGCAATATTAAGACAAATAATCACCAAGGCTTCAATTTAAAATCACTTATTATCGAAATGTTTTGTTTTATTGATTTATCCAGTACAGAAATAAACTATGATTTCCTTCTTTTTTCTTTATCCAATTTAATCTTTCCTCTTCTTTTTTCCTGTAATTTATTACTTTAACTAATAATTATGGAGATAGTTTATCTGATAAATATTCAATGTATACAACAGTGATCATCAACCGTCCAATCCTACCCACTCAAAATGTTACTCATAAATCTTCTTAAATCGAGTCAAAAAAAATTAACAACTTACATGTATGGTACAGACATTCATTGGGAACACAACAGAATATGAACAAATACCTTTGAAAAAATGTGTAAGATGGGAACACAACAGAATATGATCAAATACCTTTGAAAAAATGTGTAAGATAGTGAAATATCTCTAATTCTATCATGATTCATTAATGTTCAGATGAGCTTGTGAAGGGCTCAGCAGTGCAGCTCAGTCTGACTCCCCACCTGGCCTGCTCCTCCTGGCCTGTTCCTTTATTAGCTCGTCCTCATGCTGGAAACAACAGGAACAGCTTGGTACCCTCCTCCCCTCGTCCCTCCTCCACCAGCACCTTTCTCTACTCTATTTTCCTGCTAATTACCTTGTTGTACGAGCACCAAATGTTACCTAACGATTCACTTAATTGCAGAAGGGGAACATTAGATGATATCAAAAGCCCCCTTTAAAAAGTCATCCCATCTCATTCCTCATGTGGTATTTCACACCAAAACCAAGACATCTGCTTTATTTTTAAACCATTTGCATTTTATAAAGGTTACCCACAAAGTAAAGGTATACAGGTATACACCTCCATTTATCTGATGCTCCTCCGTGTGACATACAATTACATACATTTAGTAAACACACACGTCAAGAGGGCCCAGGTCACATCCAACATGCAATTAAAAGTGCAACTGTTCACCCCAAATGCTTTCATCTAGGGCCCGGTGTTACAAGTGCTATCCATCCACCTGAAGAGACGGGGATAATTAACATTTTCCTCGGAAGCCCATTGCCCCAGGTGCACCATGTCACACTTACATATACATAGATATCCGCAGTGCTAGCAATTTATTCAGCAGCGGTGGCTGCAACTAGCATTTCTGACACAGGCTTCACAATGATTTATGGACCTGCTCATTGACCTAGTTTATTCCGAAACCAGAAAAAAGGGGCACATACCCTCTCATACGCAGCCTATCTATCCCATGGTGTTGTCCTGCAGTCAGTTTTTGAGAGATGGAAGGAGTAATAAGGTCACAAAACGACTGCTCTATGATACCCTCCAGGCAGTTTACAAGTTCTCTATCTTCCTGAGAGGGTGTTGAGGAGCAGTGCTGCATGGAAACTCTCCTTCCAAATTTAGCAAAATGACGTTTCAGCATCATTCTCAAACTTTACGTGTTCACTCATTGGCTCTAATATGATACAGGTAGGTCACACTGCCTTCTAACAATTTATGAATCATATTGCTGAGTGGAGAAGTTGTTGTTGAAGACCTACATAGGCTAACACCAATGGTAATGACAGCAGGTCTCCTCTCAGTCGCCTCCATTTTCCTTCTCTCCAACCCCACTTTTACCACATTGAACAGATAGTGCTGAGTGCTGCCCAGCGTGATGTCCAGCATGCAGCAGCACCACTTTGCTCAGTGGCCACTGAGTTCAATCTGTTTCAGAGCTGCAATTCAATTATCTCACCAGGGTCCTGCTCAACCACTCGTGAACGAAAGGAGGCCAAAGGTGTGCTCGATGGGGGGCGGGGGGGATAGACACTCGAAGACAAACAGAAAGACATATCTTAAACACAGAGCCAGTTCAACGCATTTATGGATGTAAATGTGGCTTTTTTGTGCATGATTAGCATTAGCTTTACAATCACTAGACGGATGTCAAGACCTGATAAGGCTAATCAGTGTGGTAAGCTGAGCAGTGGGATTTGGCACGTCACCCCATTCATCTTCCTGACCCTCTAACCCCACCACCACCACCCGCCCCCACTCCCCCAGACCTGGAGAAGCACACAGCTAAAATCAAACCAGTGGTAAAATAAACCCCAAAATAAATAGTCAAATCTCCATAAGACTAAGTGATGATAAATATTCATTGAAATAATTGCATGGATAAATTATAATAACTTTAGAAGACAGATAACAATTAAGCTTAATTTAAAACATTAAATTTATATGGAAAATACTGTAGATTTTTTCACCAGGTGCCCACTGTTCTTGTTGCAAAAAAGCACCTAGTCAATGTCACAGATTCAGATTCAGATCATATTCAGCTGGCATTTTGAGACAGATGCTGGCATTGATGTGTTAAACATCAAGCTTCTGGTTCTTCAAAGCTGGCGTGCTATCTAAAATCACAGAGCGGGGTGGTGTTATGGCAGCTTTGCTTTAGTTCAGCATAAACAGGCAAAGCTGAGATAATGAATGGTCTGCACAAGAGCAATATAAGGGATTTCAGTGTAATGCCTACTGTCCTAGGTGGAGACGTGTCAGTTCATATTGATCTGCACAAAACTACTTGGTGTGACGGCAATGCTAGTTTACCTTCAAGTGAAATTGGATGATGTGATGCAGGCGGTGTTGTTTTATGTTGGTTCAGAACAAACACTGAAAATGTGTGAATTAAAAGAAAAAAAGGTCAAGTTCTACTCCAAGGCAGCCATGAATGTTTGGTGTAACTGCAGTATTTGGTACAATCAGTGAAACTATTAACCATTGTATTGACTAATTAAAAATTAATTACCATTCACTGAAATAGCATTTTGTTTTTTAACATTTGTCAATGTATAATTAGTTTATGTATAATTAGTAATTGGACTTAAGTCATATATGGATTAATTAGTCTTTCAGAAACAGCGAAAATGTAGAATAAAAAAATAAGTAAGGTAAAAAATAAGTCATCAAAAGAAACAGCCAAGATAAACCAAGGTCACTTCAGAAATTCCTTTTTATAATAGCGCAAAAAATATAAAAGGTTAGCCATTAAAGCCAATCAATCAAAAACAGAATAGTTCAAAAGAACTACAAATATATGGCATAAACAACATTAAATAAACATCAATGTCAAAGTCAGTTTAAAGCTAACAAACAAATAAAATCCAATTTTAAGATTTCATTGCATGCTTTATATGTGATATTTGAAAAAGCATGTGTTGATTGTGTCTGATTTTGTCCATGTACAGACCATTCTGTATCCTGTCTTTGTGCTGGACCCTGTGTCTCACTCTTAAACCCAGCATTGCTGGAAACACCATCATCCATGTGCACTCATCACAGCACCTTGCAAAATCTTCTATCTACGCTCATCTCCTGTCCTGCTGACCTTTCACCCCTCACCTCTAAGCCATCCGAGCAGTCAATGCCTCCATTCAGCCTATTTGGCTTCACAACCAGAATTACATGAGATTGGAAAACAGAAACTGTGCTGGAAAAGAAAGGTAAAAGAACAGCGAAAATGGGAAAAGAGAATAATCCTGAGACTTCATCAATTTTTCATGAATTTTCATTTAGACTGGGAGAGACCTTTTACTGCAATCGATAGATCAAGCTGCTGTCACACAGTTAGCACCTGGGGGTTGCTGGAACAGCCCATGGGAAAACTGGAGTCCAACCCTCTCTTCCTTCTTCCTCTACAGTAAATTTCCCAATCACAATCCACTCAAACTGTATGCCCTGCTTCCAACTACTCATCTTCTTAGTCATTATTATTTTTCCAGTTTTTGGTTGATAGCTGTTTACTAAAGTAAAACAGAACAAATAAAGCTTACAAAATCACAACACAACAAGTGACTCAATTTTGTGTTCGATGATGATGTTTTTTACAAAGTCAAATTACACAGGTCATAAAGGCTAAAACATCAAGCCACAGTGGACACCTTTGTCTGAAAAACAGGACAGAAGCCACAGTGAACAGTGAAAACAACAGAAGGCCGAGGAGCTTTTCCCCTCCAGCCCCTGGGAGACGCCCCATAGGAAGTCCAGCCTGAGCCCGGTGGGGGACCTTCATCTTCAAAGGTAATTCGACCCACAGCTCAGGTTCTGCCTGTCAGTGCTCGCCAACACAGTCCAGGCTGCCTGTGTCAAATGTCGATCAGGACTTTGATCTGATCTCTGCCTGCTGTTATAACCCCGTGTACCTGAGAGAGAGCCACATCTATCCTGCCATCGTGCCCCTTTCAAGTACTCTGACAGTAGCTTTATATTGACGTCTGGTCAGGCTCAGAAACACTCCTCTTAGGTAAGGATAGAGTAAATCCATTCTTAGATGTTGGTTAAAATAACATTAACAACAGTCATTAGCTGTGACTTTTAGAATCACAGTGAAATTGCTTTGTTTTTCATAAAACAGGAAGCAAGATTAAATTATCCCAGAGAACATAATTTAAAAAGAAACAAATTGCTGCTGTTACCTTGAGAAAAGATAACACACAAGCCGATTTCGTAACATTTATGATAATTTGAAAGGAAATTGTCAAATGCTGTTGTTGTTGTTTTTAGGTCGTAAATCTGGTCTTTTCAATCAACAACTGAGAGAACCTTGAATGTGAATAAGCACAGTAATAACTTTGGTAGCACAGCAAACAGGACAAACTGATGAAAAAACAAGTTCTGGTGACTTACATGCTACTTCCAAAGATGCGTTCCGGCTGACAGCTTCTCCTAGGTAGTTCCGTGCCACGCAGACGTAGGCTCCCTCATCAGGTTTGCTCCGGCGTCCGTGAACAATGCGCAGGAAGAAAAGTGAACCACTCGGCAGCAGCATACGGTGAGAACGTGAGTCATCTTTGTCCGTTTCCACTCGCTCTCCATCTTTGTACCACTCCACTGTCGGGGTCGGCCGACCCTCAGCTTTACAGTTGAGAGTGGCCGGCTCCCCCTTAGATACAATCAGGTCAGATGGGTGCTCCACAATCCGTGGTGCGGCGTCCTCTTGGCGCAGACGGGATCCTGCACAAGAAGAACAGTTGCAATTAAGCTTAAGGTGGAGTAGTACGGACATTAAAGGATTATTTCAGATGTTTGCATTGAACAGATTGGGGTAAAATTAGCTAAAAAAATGGATTGGAAAGTAAGGTTTTAGTCCATGTCTAGATTCATTTTAAATTCAAGTCCTCTATGGCCAAATCATCCGATCCATTCCTTTCTATTATGGTATAGAGAAGCTAAACTTCTGGTGATAAAGATAATGAGCCCGATGTTTGACTTGATATCTACAAGGCTCTAGTGCAGCATTAGACACTGTTAGACACACATCTACATCACAGAAGCAATAGGACCTCTTCAACAATCAAACAGTTTGATCTAGTGTGACGAATTGCAGACAATTGTACACAGCTACATCAATAACTATCTCTGTTGCCCAGGCTGTGCATTGAAATAACAGGAAAAAACTCCTGTAAATGTAAACCCTATAGAACATAGACTTAGGTCAAAACAGTGTTTCCAAGTTTACGTTACAAGTTTCTAGTTCTTGTTTGGCTGATTTGCACACATCTCACTACTCTCACTTTAATCTCCCGGGGGACACCAATGCTTTGCTGCACAGAAGTCTGCAGGCGAAGGACAGCAGCAAGTATATTCTGACTGATCAGCAGAAAGTACAGTTAAAGACTCAGTGTGCCCACAAACACTGACATACATGGACATAGATTAACACTGCACGACTGTTATTTATCCTTTAATGGGGATCAGACATCAGACAGCGGCATATTGACGCCAGAACAGGAACCAGTCTCTTCTCTTCTTTTCCTAATTTAGGCTAATTCCTTCTATTTTGCTGTCATTGATTAGTCGTCAGGCGTTTAGCAGAGCTACAGCGAGAGGGTTGTTGTAGTGGGGGTGCTGGTGTCCCCCTCCTACAGTTTATGATCTAATCTCCTTGGCATTGCATGGACAACCGAGGATGTTGGTATTGCTATTGGAGCAAGACCCTGCAGTATTCTACAGCTGGAACCTCTTTGCTTTTTCCACCCTTAGTAGGTAACAGTAACTTTGCCAGCAGCCATTATCCCTGCCGGTGCAGGGGCACAGGGGTGGGTTGGTATTCTGGCAGTAAGTGACTTAATAAATGAGGCAGTAATTAACACTTTGACATTGATAAATGGAGGGCAAGATAAAGGACAGACATGAAGCCCACCGTCTCCCCTCAGATGAAGTGTCAAATGCATATTTATTCTTATCTCACTGGAGCATCTGCTTCGCCCATAATCCACATGCCCAGCAGTGGCTTTACACTAAGGCCGATGAGCCTGCACTACGGAGACTGCATTCGATTCATATCGGTCTAATTTCTTTGAATCCAATTTGTATTCCAATCTAGTGCCTTCTAATCACTTAAACCTTGAGTCTCCATCTGTTCTCCTCGTTCCTGTTAAAATGAACACAGCAGATGCCTCCACAATTGTCCTTCCACTGCCAGAAAAAGCAGCACCAAGTGCATGAGGTCAGTGTGCTTCCTGAGTGAAGGTAGTCAGGTGTGGAGGTAAAAAAGGTTAAACGCACAGCCATATGCCAAGGAATATGTTTCAAAATAGCCCCATCAATCTTGATAGTGGACATGTAAACCTTGCCAGTTGTCCTCAGTATTTGCTTGTGAAGTCCCTCAATGTGTGATGTCCAGTAGGACAACATAAAGACACGCTCGTCCCCACCACCCTGACATAACACTGAGGTTCTTTCAGAAGTCAATTTCCAGGGTCCGATTGGGTCTCATTTCCCGCTGTCCTTACAGCAAATGGGTTTTCTGTTGCCCTTTTAATGTGATCATTGGTGCTGTGCAATCAAGTGCTCTCCGAGCTGAGGAGAGTGCTCTTCACCGGGTCTGGGGGCACAAGCTCCAATCAAATGCTGTGTTCTTTCGCTGTCCGCCATGACACCACAATTACTTTTCTGAACTGATTTGAAGCCATTCTGTTGTGTGTAAAAGTAGGAACCAGAAAAAAACAAACAAGTGCGCAAACAAAGGGTGAAATCACAGAGACTACTGAGGCAGAAAAAAAAACACTTCCCA